AGCTTCCGAGCCGTCTTCAAAGGCAGTCCCACGTAGAGAGCGTTGCAGTAGTCAAGGCGGGATGTAACCAGATGTAATTTAAATTTGTAATTTAAATGAGAATATAATGTTTTGATCCTGTTGAAGTTTAGAAACCTTTTCCACAGACAGCCTCACTTAGAGTGCTTTACAGTAGTCCAAATAGGATGCAATTAAGTATGTGTCACCAAAGACCAATCTAGCACATTAGTTTTAGCAGAGCAAATGCATTCCTGGTCACTACTGAAACCTGGCTCATAGTTAACTTCACAAGATCACATGCTAAGATTTTAAGGGGTGCCTAATCCAATCCACCAGAGATAGAGTCCTTACTCCCTGATCTAACTTTCAACTGACCAGAGTACCTCTGTCTTGACTTGATTAAGTTTCAATTTGTTTGCCCTCATCCAATCCTTCACTAACAACAGACATCGGTTTAGTACTGAGACAGCCTCTCTGGAATCAAGTGGGAAAGGGAGATAGACTTGAGTGTCATCAGAATACTGGTGGCATTGTATCCCAAAACTCTAGATGACATTTCCCCAGAGTTTCACATAGATGATAAACAACACGGAGGACAAAGCAAAGCCCTGAGGGACCCCACAGGTCAACAGCCAGGACATCGATCAGAAGTTTTCCAGCACCAACTTCTGGATTCAACCTTCCAAGAACTACTATTTATCAGTGCCCCCTAATCTCACCCCAGAAGCACACCATAGTCAATGTTATCAAATGCACTGAGAGTAGAACCAGTAGGTGCAAACTCTCCCTGTCAGTTCCCTGCCTAAGTCATCTAACAAGGCAACCAAAGCCGTCTCCATCCCATAACTAGGTCTGAAGCCAGATTGAAATGGTTCCACATTACCTATTTCATCCTGAAATTCCTGGAGCTAGGAGACCTTCATGCCCTCAGGTCCTTGCTCAATAATGGAATGTGAGAAATTGGCTGATGATGATTCAGAACAGTGGAGACCAGGGAGGCCTTTTAAGTAACATTTAATGAAGTCATCATTCCCTCCCACCCATCGCTTGCATAGACTTCTTTCATAATAGGAAAACTTCCAAGGAGAGAGAGTATGTGCTTTCCAATGCAGGCAGGGTATTTGAATGGAATAATGAAGATTACAGCTACCCTGTTAGAACCGTACAAAAATAATTAACCTTAATGTGCATGTGAAAAATGGCAATATGGACATGGTTGAGCTAAAATCCTTTTGAAACCTTTTTGTTTTTAAATAAAGGGAGTTTTGAAATTCCATTTATATGTTGAATTTAGATACGCTGAAAATGAGAAATTGCAGTTGCCCTCTGCTGCCACCTTTATTAGCTCTTCCCTAACTGCTCTTTCTTTGTCAAAGGTACTGATTTCATGAGCTCATTAATTCTGCCATGCTAATGCACTTTCCTTATCTTCTAATTAGCTACCAGTCTCCTTCCGGCATATTTATGATGCTGTCTTCGTTTCTCTTGTCTTGCCATATGGAGAGGAATGCCCAGTGCTGAAACCAGTACAGTTTGGTGCTCTTGTTTTCCTTGAGCTCTTCCCAACTGCACCGGCTATCTTTGACATTAATATTAAACTAAAATGGCCCAATTACACTAAAGGCACCAGATTCCATCTAATCTTGGAAACTAAGCAGGAACAGTATTGGGTTAGTACTAAGATGGGAGGCTGCAAATGAATACCAGGTAATAATAATAATAATAATAATAATAATAATAATAATAATAATAATAATACTTTATTTATATACCGCTCTATCTCCCCAAGGGGACTCAGAGAAGTTCCCAGGTAAAAATCACAGAACATACACCTCTGCATAGAACAAAGTATGGCTGAGTGTCCCTTGCCTAAGAATACCCTATTAAATTTGTGAGGTTACAATATTTGACAAGTGACTTGAAGGCACATATACACCAAATAAAGCAGAGTTCAGCTGGGGATGATGTAAGGTAAGGGATAGGCTCTCATTTTAAAATACCAAAACCAACTGATAAATGTAAAATAAGCCAGTGAATATACATATAAAATCTACTTGACTCCCAAGGAAATTTGTTTTCCAAGTTAGAAATTATTTATAATTGTTAACACTGCTTCTGGGTTGAGGTTTTTTTTTAATGGCTAAGTAAAACTTTCTCAAGTTTATCTTAATGTTTTCAACATTATTCAGGTGTGAAGGAAAAAGACAACAGGTCATCTTATTCTTTTGAAAGTATGTATTTCCGGCACCAATTATAAAGCAATAAGTACCGTATATTCCGGCATATAAGACGACTGGGCGTATAAGACGACCCCAACTTTTCCAGTTAAAATATAGAGTTAAGATGACTCCCATGCATAAGACTACACCTGCATATAAGACGACCCCTGACTTTTGAGAAGATTTTCTTGGGTTAAAAAGTAGTCTTATACGCCAGAATATACTGTACTCTGTCTATATTCATGTTGAGGCATAAGCACACCTCCTGCCCTGGGCTGGATTTAAGCATTTATTAGAGCCCTGGGGCTAAATCCTAATCAAGTCACAAGACATTCATTCTGCCTCATTCTACATCTCTCAAGTAATGTCCAAATTGCGGAAACTATTAACACTCACACAGGCACTTTGACAGACTAGCATAATTCAGGCAACATCCAGATCTACGACATTACATTAATGAAAGTCCATTATTATTTGATCTGCCCCAAACCTTATCATACTTCGAGCATATCTGTTTTTTGTTTGTTTGTTTTTTGTATCAGGAGTGACTTGAGAAACTGCAAGTCGCTTCTGATGTGTGAGAATTGGCCATCTGCAGAGACGTTGGCCAGGGGGCGCCTGGATGATTTACCATCCAGTGGGAGGCTTCTCTCATGTTCCCGGATGGGAAGCTAGAGCTGACAGACAGGAGCTCACCCAGCTCCCCAGATTCGAACTGACAACCTTTCTGTCAGCAGTTCAGTTATTTATTTATTTATTTCTGTTACTTCTACCCCGCCCTTCTCACCCCGAAGGGGACTCAGGGCGGCTTACAAAAGCAAGGCACAATTCGATGCCCGCATCACATAACAGCAATAAAACAAAATAACATCAATTAACAATTAACAACAATTCTTGCATTACAACCATAAAACCAATAAAACCAATACAAACCAATTTCTCCTCATTGATTGTCAGTATTCGCTATCTCATAGTTCAAATTCCAATTCCACAATTGTCAGTCCTGTCAGTCCTATTCGTCTGGTTGTCCTTATCTAGTTGTCAGATTGCCCAAAGGCCTGGTCTCACGACCACATCTTTAGCTTCCTCCTGAAGGAGAGGAGGGGTGTTGATGCCCTAATTTCCCCTGGGAATGAGTTCCACAGGTGAGGGGCCACCACTGAGAAGGCCCTGCTCCTCGTCCCCCACCAACCTCACTTGTGATAGCGGTGGGGTCAAGAGCAGCCCCGCCCCCCAGATGATCTCAAATTCCGGGGTGAGATGTAGAGGGAGATACATTCAGATACTGGACCGGAACCGTACAGGGTTTTGTAGGTCAAAACCAGCACCTTGAATTGTGCTCGGAACTGAACCGGCAGCCAGTGGAGCTGACACAGCAAGGGGGTGGTGTGCTCCCTGTATGTCGCTTCGGTGAGCAATCTGGCTGCCGCTCGCTGGACCAGTTGAAGTTTCCGAACAGTCTTCAAGGACAACCCCACGTAGAGTGCATTGCAGTAGTCTATTCGGGATGTAACAAGAGTGTGGACCACTGTGGCCAGATCAGACTTCCCAAGGTATGGGCGCAACTGGTGCACAAGTTTTAGTTGTGCAAAAGCCCTCCCAGCCACCGCTGAAACCTGGGGTTCCAGGCTCAGCGATGAGTCCAGGATCACTCCCAAGCTGCGAACCTGAGTCTTCAGGGGGAGTGTAACCCCGTCCAGCACAGGCTGTATCCCTATGCCCTGTTCGGCCTTACGACTGACCAGTAGGACCTCTGTCTTGTCTGGATTCAGTTTCAATTTGTTAGCTCTCATCCAGTCCGACACAGCAGCTAAACACCGATTCAAGGTCTGGACAGCCTCCTTGGTGACAGGTGAGAAGGAGTGACAGATCTAGACATCATCTGCGTAGAGATAACATCTCAGTCCGAAACTCCGAATGGTCTCCCCCAGCGGCTTCATGTAGATGTTAAACAACATTGGGGACAGAATTGAACCCTGAGGGACTCCACACGACAATGGCTGTGGGGCCGAACAGGTGTCACCCAGTAACACCTTCTGGGACCGTCCCTCAAGAAAGGACTGGAGCCACTGCAAAGCAGTACCCCCAAGTCCCATATCTATGAGGCGTCCCAGAAGGATACCGTGATCGACGGTATTGAAGGCCGCTGAGAGGTCCAGCAGATCTAACAGGGACACACTCCCCCTGTCCAGCTCCCGGCGAAGATTATCTATCTACCAAGGCGACCAAGGCTGTTCCCGTTCCATGTCCCGGTCTAAAGCCAGACTGTGCAGGATCTAGATAATCAGTGTCTACCAGAAATCCCTGGAGTTGTGTTGCCACCACACATTCCATGACTTTGCCCAAATAAGGCACAAGGGTTTAACCCATTGCACCACTGGGGGCTCTTAGTATATCTGTTGAAATCAGTTTTACTAGTTACAAACTTTTGTGCTCTAATCAGTAGATTCTGGTGCACAGAAATGCCTTTCCCTTTCAGGTCTTGCTATGCCCTTGATTCCTTTGGCCCCATCTACACTGGCTATTTAATGCAGTTTGAAGTTATCTCCAAATTGCAGCAGCCATAAAAGTGTGCAAAAGAAAATCCTTAATGTGTACCAGTGCTCTGTAGTTTGTGTAATCAACACCCAGCCTCAAACTTTTCCCAGGTCTTCCTATATAATCATCTGCACAGCAAAAGCACTTTTTTAATACCCATTTGAAACTGCATTACATTAACATTATAGATGGGACCTTCCTCTCTTGTTTCATTTCTCTCTTGTCTTCTTTCCCCTCTCCCCATTTAATTCTCTTATATTCTAGTGTTTGTTTGTTTGTTTGTTATCCTCTTTCTTCCTCCACCATTCTTGGCTAGAAAATCTTTCCTTTTTCTTACTCTCTTCTCCTTTCACTACATTTTCCAGTTGCTTTTCTTCCTACTCCTATTCCCTCTCTCTCATACTTTATTTCACATGCACACACCAATTGTCCCAGTGACATTTGTATCCTCCCCTTTTCCCAGTCCTTTCACTCACATCATCATTATCCTCCTTCTTCCTCTGGTTCTCCCAATTGCATGCAGTCATTTTTATTCT